ATAAATGGATCCTCTTCCACCAAGAAAGGATGAAGTCATAACACAAACACAGAAGCCAGGGGAAAGAGAACATAATCTGAGTAAATAGTGCTATTACATTATAAATTAGAAACTACCAGTGCAGTGCCAGTTCATAACATGTCTGTTTGGAATGGCTTGTTTGCTTTGCCTGTGGTAATGCTGGACACAGCTTTTTCTCAGAAACTGCAAAAGTGACCCGCAGTAATTCAAATTTATTTATACAGCACTTTAACACAACATTGTTGGTCCAAAGCACTTCGCAAGAAAAAGTGATAACAGTAATAACGACAACAATCATAATACAACACAACACAATTACATAAAGGCCACAGCTGAACCCTGAAGCTGTTCCACCACAGCTGCACAAAGAGCTGTTCACCTGTTTATTCAAAGTGCGGTAGAGCTTGACTGAGTAAACACTTTAGAATCTGAAATACAGAATCAATTTTGGTTGCTGCTGTTGTGAACACACTGCTGTTGCGATCAACAAGGTCAAGAGTCCAAGCCTCCACTGCTGCAGAGCGCTGGTCGCCCATTTATTCAAAGCTTTTATTAGCACTGAAAGTATCACTTGTCCACTTGCCACATTCTACGCTGCACTTTCTTGGGCCCTTAATACAAACACCAAATGTGAAGCAGATAAGCTGAACGGTTCTCAAGATATACATTACACAGACAGACTTGACAGATTATATCATAAATGCTTTGAAACTTCAGATATAAATATTTGAAAATTTTGAATACGAAGATAAGCGATTAATAATGAACAACAGGAACAATTGGAGCCTTTTTCCAAACTATCCTTTCAAAGTCCAAACCTGTTTTTGCATAACCTGCTCATAATGCAACAAAAAGCAATACGCTCACAACAATATGAGCTCTAATACCATTTCCACTGTTTCTATACCAGCACACCACAGCACAACGGCAAACACATTTAATAATTCACGAAGGGGACACAGAACATGTTTCCAAACGAAAAAAACCTGGTGCTGTGTTAGCTGGTCTCGAAATCAAAAGCTAAGCAGAAATTATGCCAGGTTCACTCATGCACACTCCTCGGGGTGATTTGGTTCTCGCAGATTTCATGTATGAATCATGTTTACAAACACAGAAACAGATTATGGTACATGGGAGATGAGCACGCTTGCACTGAGGGGATATAATTCAGAAGGAGGTTAAGTATCTGGAGTGAAAACAAAATATCAAGTGGCATCCAAAAGGAGACACAAACTAGAGACGATCACAGAAGGGAAATTCCAGGATGGCCCAGTTTAGCCTTTATACAAATTCCAAAAGACAAATAACTATTTGGGTTATTATCCCTCAGATCTCTCCTCAGAGCTGAAGTAGTTTTCAGCCCGAGTAAATATATCTACCATCTCAACAGAGATGTGACCTCAATTTAACTGAGTGTGTGTGGGGGGGGGGGTAGATTTGGAGTAATTCATAGACAAAATGGCTCATCCAAATATCACACTGGCTTCTAACAGAGGCTCGTACAACAGCCCAAATTTAACTTATACGTCACAGTGAGGAGCTATATAATTATTTTTGTGTAGTAAATAAGTTTGTTTATAAATTAATCTCTAAATTTTAGTCTTACAAGTGACATTTCCCAGAAATCTATGAGGGTGTGACATTTGGTGCAGCTTGTTTGAATTTAAGAGGAATGTTGGGCCTTGGCGGAGGTATACGCCATTCTAGTTCTTATTAGATTGCTAGAGCTAAGTGAAGTATATAGATGCCATCCATCAAAACATTCTTATTGGTGATAATTCTCTGTGTTGTGGATAAAGCCACGATCACCACCAAAGTAATGTGAAGATCTATAAAGTCTGCAGTATCATTTGAACTAGTGTATAGAAATTGTTGGGTCAAAACCACTGGCTGCTCTAGTTTTTTTTGCGTACGTTTAAGCAGGTTTGGTGAATATAAAACTCAAAGTGGCACATAGGTGTCACTGTGTTTGTCTCCATGTTAAACCTCCCCCAGACTTTATCCTTACCTCTTCCCCAGTGTGTGATGACATAGACTTCATGACCTTTCTAATTAGATATTTCCAGGACGTCTGAACTGACAACACCGAAAATATATCCTGTGAGTTACACGGCAAAGACTAAACCCTTCAGTACTTTTTATGGTTGACGAAAAAGCTTCACTATTTGGTGTGTTTTGTGACACTGGTGCGTTTGGAAGGCCTTTGACGTCCATCATAAAGCAGCCATTCAGGCAGACAAAAAGGCTATTGATGCCTCTCCACTGAAACAATATTATCACAACTGAGTACAATGGATGCTGCTGGTTGAATAGTGATGAGGGAACCACAGATACACCTAAAATCTGGGGTTAGAGCAAGATTTTACGATTTACTGACACTAAAAATGAAGATGTTTCTCATCATTCAAGTTTTATTAACCAAAGTTTGGCCCAACTTCACTGTTTGCAATGCTGTCACTCAGGTAGATATACAAGTATGTATATATGTCAACCCTCAAAGTGAGGTATGATGACTTACAATTGAAAAATAAAAGTCACCAACTCTGGGTGTACTAAAAAAGGCTAATGCTGCTGACTGAGGCCCATTCATGGGCATAAAAACTAAATAAGGGCTCACATGCTCTGCCTCACACGTGGCTCACATCCTTTTGGCATTGAAAAGGTCGGCCGGACCATTGTTTAAGAGCACATTTTTGAAAACATGAAGAGAAGTGCAGTTACATATACTCTGACAAAAGGGAGGCATATGTTGAACCACCCTGTGGCAGTAGACCATGCCAAAGGGCTCTCCCAAACACAGCCAGTCTTAAACAACCCTTTACTAAATAATGTGAAAACATAAATTCACCAACTCTAAACTTAAAGTGCCAGCTACTTCAGCTGGCCCCTGGCTTCACTGCTCAGGCTAGTTCAATGTCTCTGTGTGTCAGTGTCTCTCCACATCTCAGTCCTTGTGTGTCTCCTTGAGGCAGCTCAGCCGCTGCCTTTTGTACCAGAAGATCAATCAGCTAACGGCTCTCACCTGCACTGATTGATCCTCTGGTCCAGGTGACGGTGCTCTCCCAGCCACCCCCTCACACCCTTTATGTGATACCACCAATAAATCAGATTCCTCTTATTCTGACATGTGGTGGACTTGAGCTTCAAACAATGGGGCTGGTTTAAAAAACGATAAGACTCCAGAAAGAACACAGAGCAGAAAGAAGACAGACAGAAATACTGAGGTATGTGGGGGGGGGGGTGTGACCTCCTACAGTAATATCACAGCATAATAACATAGGAACAAAGCAGTCACCTTTCTAATGTGTGGCCTACAAAATGTGACACGCTCATACACCCACTAAAAGCTGAACAAGAAGTATTACAGCTAAGGAAAAAATTGCTTTTTGATTAAAGCTTCACAGATTTCTACACAGGTAAACCATACTTCATTCATCTGACTCCTTCCACTTCCTTCACTAACAACGCTGTCCATCAGTGAATGACATGCACATTTAAATTGTGGGGGAAATGGACTCGCCATTAGCAGCGAGCACATGTGCGACATTAGTCTGAGAACAAAAAACAACAGGGGGGTGGGTGGTGGGACATGACAGTGAAACAATGAGTAGCAGTCAGACATCTGGCAGAGAGCTAGATCCTGCCGCAGATCTTTCACTCAGACCGTCTGTAACCTCCCCCCCACTCCAAGCATGAACCAGTGAGACGCTCATGGTTACCTTCCAGAGAGAGACCACGCATGACGTGACATACAGACCGGTAGCTGCATGGCCTACTTCTGGCGGCAGTGTCTGTGGTCTGTGTGGTGGGCTTAGGGCTGGGCAATAAAACACTATCAATAATTATCATTATATAATGTCATCAACAGCAATCACAAACAATACAATGCGCACTACAACAAGTGACAGATGCTTGATGTACCGCAGATTTGTTAAATGTTTGTCATTCTGTGCCCATGAAGAGGCATTTAAAACCACAACCTTCACTCAGGAGCAAAAATCTCTTAACTTCAAATAAATAACATCAAGACATTCATCGTGATAATTATCTTTATCGACTGTTTGGGAATTATTTACATTTCTGGCCCATTTATCACCCAGCCCACTGTGGCATGTTCAGGATTAATTCTCCTATGACAAGGAATACTACGCTGATATCTCATTGACACTTGTCTCACACCTGCCAGTACTCAAGATACAGATCTCAGAGATGTCAGGACTAAAAATGAGAATTGGTTTCACATGTAGCTCAAACAGCAGACAGATCAGGGGCGGATCCAGGGCGGGCACTGGCCCCAGCTGATATCTGATTTACCCCTGAAGTGCCCCTCTCCTGTCAGTAGTCTAAAAAAAAAGTCACTTATTAACATTACTAACCTTAAATAGGACAATTTGTTGTTTCTTTTCTGACGTCCACAAAGATCTGTATGTACACTGACCACAGATACTTCGTTTTTTCTCCTTCTCTTCAATGTTAACCCTCAATAACACTGTTATATTTCCACTGAGTGTTTGTAGGGGCGGTGGATGAGGGACTTAAAGACAGACAGAGACAAGTCCCATTGAAGCACGTCTCCAACCACTCTGACCAGAGGTTTTACGTGACATTTAAAACAGTGGAAAACCCACGATTGAGTGACGTGAATATCAGAACACCCCCCGCCCCGCAGATAAGTGCTCATCCACGGTCACTGTTGGGTGAAACCATGAAGTCTTCTTCTGTCCGTTCGCCCAGTGATGAACAGCCTAAATCTCTATCCAACGTATAAAGCACATGGGAGCTCGAACCTGGTGTGTTGTTGCTCCGGCGGGTGGAGTCCTCAGCGCTCGGCGGGGACAGTTTCCTTCACGCGTGAAGTTGTAGAATGACAACAACAACCACGGACACCCACATGCTAGCGTCTAAAGCTAACATTTGAACAGAGAGCAAACACAGCGGTGCACACTCCGATTAGCAAACCCGTGGAGGAAGCCACTTACCGTTTGGAGAGACTTCCTCTCTGCTGCTTCTTCTTCTTCTTCACCTTCCTCTTCCTCTTGTCTCTCCTTCTTCTCTGAACAAACTAAATCCTCTCTTCTCATTCTCTCTCTCTCTCTTCCCCCCCCCCCTCTCACGCGGAGCCGTGTCACCCAGAGGCCGGGGCAGATGCTGCTGTCACCGCACCGTCGACTCACTCGCTCCGCTGGTCAGACCGAGTCAGCCACTCTCTCTCTCTCTCTGTCTCTCTCTCCACTCACACCACCAACCTCCTCCTCCTCCTCCTCCTCCTCCTCCTCCCCCTCCCCCTCCTCCTCCTCCTCAGCTCCACATGCTGCGCGTGTGTGACAGGCCGGTGACAGCACGCACGAGCAGAGCAACGGCTGGAGGCTGACTTCCGGGTTGACGAGGTAAAGACGGTGAGAGAAGTTATATTTATATTAAATCCTCCATTTTAATTAAAAAGTGAAGCAGCTTCTCTCCCCCACGACTTTTTAATTTATCTGTCACTCAAACTTGGTGTCGACATAAATATAAATGTGTTGTAAAACAACTTAACATCTGTGGAATTAAAGCGACATAAGTACATGAGTCCATTTTAACTGTATATTCAGTTTGTAAAAAAATAGAGAAAAAAGAAAAAAGATCAAAGTCAAATTTAACCCGAAATATAAAAACTATCTCGCTGCGCCCTCTGTCGGATCAACCCTGGACATACAGCTATAAAATGATAATAGTGATTAAATGAAGCAATAAAAACACAATCTCGAAATTAAACGCCATTTTAAAAAACCAAACAGAGGTGAAGCCCAAACAGTGAATGTCTCAGTCCATTTACTTAACCTTCATCACATGTCACATCCATGATACAGAGACTTATCATTTTAAATTATTAAAGCTTACCTCAAACTGTGTTTAGTTTATCTGATTGTTTATTTTTATTTATTTATTTGTATGGATAGAAGTACATCAAAATGTGCTTGTGCGAGAAATCCATACCTGATTTTAATCTGAGTTGTTTGGTAATGATTATTTCTATCCGCATTGATAGAAGTGCTTCATAAATAAAGTTGATTATTATCCCAGTATTTATACATTTATTGAGGCCCAAAACATTCAGCCAATGTTCAGCTGCATCTCTCGCCCCATTCTGGCCACAATGGATGTGATGAACCCAAATGAAGCCATTATGAGGTGTACAATAATTATGTAATGAAGTGTGTGTTATGCCATGAAACTAGATAATGTGATAAACAGCGCTGCCTGATTATGATGTGCTAATCATGTCAAGGTCACGCCTCCAAAAATAGAGATAGAGAAAAAGTGCCAGATCTACAGGAGCTCTTTTTTTACTTGCTGTTGTTTTTTTTTAGGTGAATATAGGTCCAATTATCATAGGAAACAATGTCATGATATATTAAGTAAAGTTTAATTAAAACAGTTTGGAAAAGCAGGTTCTTCTGCCAATTGATAGCTTGAAATTGATCCTCACGTATTTTCTATTGTGTCATATGATGTGTTGCACTCCTGACTACTTGTATGTAGCAGTGAGGTCATTGTTACACCACAAGGTGTGGTCTGTTGACAAAACCTCACAATGCTGTTGTGTCTTTACAAAATAAGTGCAATGGAGTGGAATCCTTTAACCCGTACACCTCACAAGGACAGTGGATATCTTCCACTAACGTTTCCACCCAAAGTGCAACTGAATCCAAGTCATGCAGTTGTTTTAGGGTGTGACATAAACAATATCTCTATATTGAATTTAATACAGAAACGAATCACAATTTCTCAGTGTAACATTGTCTGTGCGTATGCAGGCATCTATTCTCTGATTAAAAACACTTTCCCTTGTCAAATTACCTTTTTCATTCACAATATTTAAAATATTTAACAGGTCTGAGTAAGAAAACTACAGGTGCTCTCCGCTCCATACACTCATGCTGGTGATCAAATATCTTCAGTTTTTTAACCCGAAACTGTGGAATAGTTTGCCACAAAAAATAAGATCTTCCACCTCCATTAATATCTAAAGACCCATCTCTTTTCTGAAGCCTCTTAATTGTCATCATGAATAAACATCTTACCACGCTTCAGCTCTTATTTGTTCGTGTTTTTTGCAATCCTGCATGTGTTATGGTTTTATCCAGACATTCAGTGCTTTTATTAATTCATTTATCTTCTTTATATCTGTAATTCTGTTTGTTTGATTGTGTTTATTCATCAAATAATCCCATAATTTAATCTTTTTAAAAAGCTCTTGAGGGAGTGTTTATTTCTCTGTTAATAAATTGCAGAAAGCCCTTGTTTGAACTTGTCACATTAACAATGACTACATTCCAATCTGTGTCCTTGTGTGACTAAGTCAGCAGGAGCCATAACAAAGCCTTAAAAGTGGGTCACGAAAGTGGAATGCAGCTTCTATTAATGTTGTTAACCACACTCGTGCTTTCCCTGCTATGATTAGTCTGAATCATCACCATTACTGCTGTGAGAAATGTCTGGAGATAGATAAATAGAGGATTTAAACTTGGGGGGAGGGGAATGCCTGTTGGTCATGTGGCTAATAAGTTCTTGCAGTGACAGTATTTTATGACAGTTGCCATCATGCTTACACACATCCACAATTATATCCTAGTACAATACAACACACTCGACCAGCAGGAATACATGATTTTCTTGCTCAGAGACAATGTTTTGACCCTTGTCTATTGTTTTGGTTTGTTTTTCAGCAGCATTACACAAAAACCGCTGAACGCACTTCCACAAAACTTGGTTGAAGGAAGGGACATGAGTAAAGAAAGAACGTGTTTCTGGATAAAAGAGCAGATCCAGGTTTTGATTTTTCAACACTGCATTTTTACATTTTCTCCAATTTCTCAGATAATGATTCAAGGATCTAACATATTTTTCATTGTATTTGTACAGAAGTCAATAATGTTGTCTACGGCTCCTCCACCCTGGTACACTGTGTACAGACAAATGCTCAATGCGTCTTGTCCTCCCCACCGCATTTAACCCGGTGTCCTCCCACAACCTTTGCCGTAGCGCGGGTAACCCACGTGGGGGCGCTCTTTCCACCATGACCCGTTTTTGTTGTAGGAGAGAAAAGTGACGCAGAGAAAAGGGGGCAGGCAGTGTGGCGGTGTATACAAGTCTGTGCTCTCATTCATGCACAGTGTACAGCAGTGTTCGCCGACACTCGGGCCGTGCCACGTCCTCGTCCAAACACGACGCTGTGCGCTCTCAGGCTGATAACACAAAGAGCCGGTGAGTAAAACAAATCGTTATCCTCTTCCTCTGCGGGTCTCAGGGCGGCTCCAGGAATCCCCGAGTCTCTCTGCAGTTTTTTGGAAGTAGTCGTGCAAATATGGCTGCAGGGACAGTAGGTGGGGGGGACGTTGGCAAGTTCAAGAAATCCTGGTGGAAAGCTGTGTCTGCGTAGTTTCCGTCAGTGTCAGTGGGCTGCGCTCGCTGTGCGTAAAAGCTGCTCCCGTGTTTACATGACGCGCAGGATGTTTCCTCATCTTGACGCTGTGAGCTGATGTTGCCAGGAAGCTTTAAATATGTGGAAATACATTGATTGTACAAAGGCGTTGGTTTAAACACACATGCAAACATTGACCCTGGTTGTCATGTTGAAGGATCCAGGTATAGGTGTCATCCTCCACACGTCACGAATGTAGGTAAAAGTCCAAGCAAAGGTCATTCATTGACAACACGCTGGCAGATCTATCACAATACAAAAGCAACTCGACCTATAAGAAGTATTACACTGTGCTGTGTGTGTATCTGATATGTGAGAGTAGTTAAATAAAAGAAGTGTAGAAAAGGTGTGTGTGTGTGTGTGTGAGTGTGTGCAGGTGTCACCTGTCAGTGAAGGTCAGTAAAAGCTGGTTGTCATGGTTTCCCTTGTGTTAGAGCTTAATTATAACATCAACGAAAACACCGTTGTTTACATGCAGTGTTATTTCTGATCAAATCAATAAAATAAAGCTTTATTGACACCGGGGGGGGGGTTGCACACTTCCGACCTCATTTCACACCGACCACGTGGGCGGGACACTTCATGTAACAGCAGACACATTTAACCTACATGTGTGACGAGTGTGTGTTTCTCTATGTGGATGTTTCATGTTGGTTTTTATTGTGACGACCTGTGGATGGAAGTTTAATGATGTGGTGTTTTAAACTCTGAGTCATAGTGATACACAATAATGTGTGTGAGAGAGAGAGAGGGGGAGAGAGGGAGTGAGGGGAGGTGGTTTGGTTAATTAAAGTAACACAGCATATTGCGTCTGGTTTGAGGAAAAGAAAAAAAACACACACACACGCTTATTCTCCAGTGTCCAAAACAAACGCAGTGTTTTTGTATCGCTCCATTAGAGCCACAATGGGACGTACACGCAGCCATACGAGGATTACGTTTCTAGTTTTACCGGTATCCAAGCGGCGGAGCGCTGCGACCTTTCCCCTAGTTTCTGCAGCACAGGCCCGGATCATGTGATGCTGGGGGAAGGGACTGAAGCGCCGAGCTGTGGATGCTGCTGCTGCTGCTGCCTGACGACTGAAAGCGCAGAAAAGACGTGTCCTGCTTCCAGAGTGCTCTCATTGAATCAAATGAAAAAAGTAGACTTTGCAAAAAAAAAAAAAACACACATACAAATAATTGCCTCTCAGGGGATAAATGGGAGTTTTCCAGGAGAAACGTTGCTGCAGCAGTGAAAATGCAATATCATGACGTGCTTAACCTCAACTTAACCGTGAGGACGTCATTTTCTTTCACGAGCAACTCGATTAAATCAATGTAGGACTTCCTCATGCGTTTTAGGTGATTGATTTATTCGTATGCTCACATTGTGGTTCCATATCCGACAGCATTTGAATGCAACACCAACGTGACAACCAATAGTTACATCATCCAGCTGGTGGTTTGTAATAATCCATCAAGGATAAGCCTGGTAATATTATTAATATTATTATATTAATTTCACAAGCTCGTTCACATGTCATCTAAAGTGGCACATGTGGATTTAACTCTTTTTACTTGAGAACAATAAATGATTGAAAGACCTGTGCAGTTCTGACCTGACAAGAAATACTGATAATATTAATGGCCATATTTATTGCCTAGTTCATTAAAGGCAGAGAATAGATGTGTAGTCTTAGTTCCTGGGTAAGATAAGGACCCACAGGACACACAAATAAAAGCCTCATACCCTTTGATCACCCTCTAGAGAGAGTATTTCTCTTAACTCTTTCATTACTAAAAGGTGAGGGTAGATTTTAGTATAAGGAATAGACACAGTTGTGCCGTCTCTGCTTCCTTAAAGTCAGTTCCCACGGGGCTTTCCTGTGTTTCGATACATGTGTTCCACTCTGACATCTGTGCCCCACACCATTATACTTTCATTTAATTTTAAATAGCACCTAAACATTATTCAAACAAATGCAATTGCTCAAATGGAATGAGAACAAACCCAGCACAAGCGACGATAGGGGGGGTCACAAATGATCAATAATTAAACCAGGACTACTTGAGCCGTCTCATGTTTTTAACCTTAGTCACGGTTGGAGATCATGACGCAGTTAAATCTGTGTAGATGTTTTGCAAATGATGTAGTATTTAAACCAAATTGTATGAATTTTAAATCAGTGGATGAATAAAGGCACCTTTGCTTCTTACTCTTATGAAACGTAGAAGAACACATGACCCGTGAAGCTTTCAGACTCTAATAGAATTTGCAGAAGCATTATTTGACAGATATTTACAGTTCCGCGAACTATTCTTGAAATTAATCAAACATGAGGTTTTATTATGAAACCTAATGAAATAATACCATATACTGGAATTTCTTACTTCTCTTCACCAGGAAACTGCAAAGTGTGGTGAAACCACAACCCATCAAGCACTTTCATATAGAATAGAAGAATAGAAAGAAAGAATCAAATAAGATAACTAATCAGCAATAGGAGAATTTGTTTTTATAACATTCTTTTTCACTTTTTCCTATGTATCGGAGTGAATTCTGTTAGAAGAATCATGATTGTATTTTTGCCACTGAAGGAACATATTTGCAGACTGAAACGCACACCGTAGATCTTTTCCATGGAATCATCAATAAGACTCATGAGCTAGAAAGACTGACTTTCCTACAGTGACTGAGATCACAAGCTGGACAAAATGGCTGATTGTTGGAAAAACGAATGATATTAGTTGCTTTTCTCATCTCATTATGATGAAACGATCAATGTGACCACACCTGTCGAACCAGTTCAGAGATGTTGAGATGATCTTCTTTGGCTCAATGCCCATTGAACAATGTTCACAATGTTCTCCCAGACGTTTGAGAGCTAAACACTAATATGTTGGTAGTTAATCACCATCACTTATGAATGCAGCAAGATACCATCAGTGTGATGTTTTTAATTATTTTTTGTGCTACTCTTTGGTATCTGGTGTTACTGTTTTAGAAATACCCTTAAGCTTTGGTGCTGCCTCACATGATGGACTCACGCAGTTCACTGAGACATGGTCAAATGACTTAGCTGCAGTTAAAAGACTTCAGTCTTAAGGTCTCAGAAAGAAAAGAAAAAGTTTAAATTACAACACAAGAGCAATAGAGTCTTTTTAAAAAACAGTTTGTGAATAAGTATGTACTCATCCATTAAACTCTGCAATGACAAGAATCCTTTCCCACCCAGGGGCCATTACACTAGGATGAGTTTGAACCAATTAAAACCTGAAAATAAGGCAACCTAACGAGGTCTATTCATTACATGGAACTGCGAACAGGAACTTTCATTCAGTAGAAAATTATTTTGAGATTTTATTTGAATGTGTTGTTGTAATCTGATCATTGTTGAGGTTAGTGTCGATGTTAGTATCGTCTGCATGAACACAAAGTGAGAAAAGATAATCTCAACAAAACTTTAAATATTGGTCGATCAGTGTTTTTGAAAAGAACGCCCTTTAATCTTCCACTTCACTAACTTTATTATCTTGTACTTGTCTTTCTTTCAGTGACCCTGTGCAGCAGTCGTCACCATGGCTGAAGCTCACCAGGCGGTGGCCTTCCAGTTCACTGTCACCCCTGATGGCATCGACCTGCAGCTGTGCCACGAGGCTCTGCGCCAGATCTACCTCTCAGGCCTCCACTCCTGGAAGAAGAGGTTCATTCGCTTCAAGGTGCGAGGTTGTCTGACTCATGCAAGAAAAAAGTCCAGAGGTTTCTGTACAGTACCAGGAAACGTTTGTTAACCTTTCACCTACTTCCTCTTGCTGTTGGTTGGCTACTATAAGGGCAGCGTCTGGCGTTTTGGTTGCACTGAATATTAACGTTAATGTTTTTTGGTTAATAATTTGGCCTTTCGGACGAAGAGTGGAGATAGTATTAAATAATAGAAGAAGAAAAAGAAGTGGCTCGATTCTTGTAGTCTCTGCCTCTGCTGATATAAAGTTTGAACGACGAGGACATTAACTGTACTAGCTGCACTTGCAAAGTTAACTAGTAAATTTTCTCCATTCAAAAGGAAAGACTTTATTTTTAAAAGTTAGCACATACAAGAGCCACATTGAGAACATGCCCACAACACACACACCCGCCGTCTGCAAACCAGTCAATATCAAGCATAGGCAGACGCAGCCTCATAGTTAATGCCAACAGGACAAGTCTTAAATGCACCCCCAAAAGTACAATGTGAAACCAAAACTAACGAATCAAACACACAAACCTTTGGTCCAGACTTTCAGGTGTGAAAAAAAACCCAGAGTCTTGTTTGCCAGGTTATATCCACTCGCTGACACCAGAAGGTCAAATGCTCTCATGCAAACAGTGAAGGAATCCCTCCTGCCTGTTCCTTGTGTCCCGGCCTTTAGCCTAGTTCTCTGTTACACACAGTCACACTGAGTGAAATCCAGGGACCTGTGAGCATTGTCACTCCTTCATCTTCTTGTTTAGAATTAGTGATTAATGTAAAAGCAGGTGAACACTGTGATATGAAATATTATATAATCAGCTACCGTATAAACCATATTCTAATTGGTTCTTTACCCTCCACAGAATGGGGTGATGACTGGTGTGTACCCGGGCAGCCCTGCTGGCTTCATGGTCGTGGTTGTGTCCTACATGTCCTACAATAAATACCAACAGCTGGATCCCTCTCTGGGGTTGATAGCCAAGCTGGGCCAACACATACCTATCAGGTAAGGTCACACACTGGCATCTTGACACCCTGTCCGTGCATGCAAAAGACTTAAAGTTTATAACAATCTAGAAGAGCTGTATTCGTGTCTGGACATATCGACCAGGCCTATTTGTTCACAGTTTAGTACAGTGGGAGAGAGTAAGTCCCTAAACGAATAAGGGGGGAAAATCCACATCATGAGAAATGCATAGCTGTGGCAGTGGAATGAGTTTTTACTGCATCAATGCAGTTGTGCACATGTCTCAGGTATTTACGAGGCAACCGGTCTTTCCATGAGCAGTAGTCCCAGGTGTAGTTACAGACTGAGGAGTGGTTGATTTGATTATTACCTCATCCTTGATCCTGATTAAATAAATCAGGATGAGTGTGTGTACATTGGTGCATATTGAATTTAATTGGACTATTAGACCTTGGTGGAGGTTGCACCATCATGGTCTCATTCCTAATTTACATTTTGTTGTATGTCCACCAGACGTTTGCTGACAAAGTTGAGCGTCAGTAAGCATCTCTCGTTTTTCCCCTCAAGTCAGGGATGGTTTGTTTTATGTTCATCGTATTATTCTCTGAAAGCAATCAATCAAACTTTATTATATAGAGCCTTTTATGCAGGTTAGTGCCATTCAAAGACAATTAAAACATTTAATATGACGAAATATAAAGGAAAATAAGAAGAATGAAAATAATAAAATAGAATTAAAGAAGTTGACATAAAAGAGGCATAGCAAGAACAAGTGAAAGTATTTTATAATGAGAGTAAATTATTAGAGAAATAAATACATCAAGAGGAGGGTGTCACGTTGTTAATATCTTCACCTCTAGGGGGGCGATACTTAAAAGTTGAACACTAGATTTATGCTTCCTGTCTGGGAAAAAAGGAAGTTCAAGGGCACTGGAATTAAAACCTGACATTTTTAGTAAAAATCTTCTCGTTAAAAATCTTCATAGTTTTACATTTGTACTCGACAGAAGAGAGAAAAGTCTCTTCTTATACTTTTGCTCAAGTCTTCAAGCTAACTTCAGATGTAGCAGTGGCAACTTTTCTCACTGCAAGTTTTCACATTTATATTGTCCAAGTGTTTGTGTTGTGTTGTTGTGGTGAACAATGTTTTACACTTAGAAGCTTGAAAATGAAACGAAGAAGAAGCCATGTCCCTTTATCCAGAAACATAAATATGAATTCAGGTTCCGGTTTTTTATAAGGTTCAGTTTTAGGTGTGAGGTGATAAGAAAATCATAATTATTCTTTGTTAGTTTTGTAGTAATTTCAGACACACTTATTGTTCCACTGTGCAGTTGTATAAAACATGGTTGATTTGCTGCGTCTTTGTCCCAGTGTCACCTTCTTTGTTTCCCCTTCTTCGTCCACAGTCGGTACATGTCCACAGACAGCCAGAGGATAGTTGGAGGAGTACTGGTGGGCACGGGCCTGTGGGTCTCCATAATCATGATAATGAGGAATGTCCTGAAAAGCCTGTTGTCGTGGCATGGCTGGATGCACGCTCGCCACGGCTCTGTGTCCTTGTCCACCCGCCTGTGGATGGTAGGCCAATGAATGTCTTCCTCTGTTCAAGTCACTTCAGAGCAGATCAGGAAATATCACATTTTTTTTGCTCCCACATCTTTACGACTCCAGGGGCTGATTGTAATTATTTAAGTAAATTGTTTGTTCAGGGTTTTAAAAAGTCTATAATAATCTGTATTTTAAGCTTAAGTAAATTGAAATATGATATACCAAATATTATAATGTAAAATGAAGTGTAACTATTTCTCAGACTCTGATATTCCTTCCTATCTGTCGTATTTGATGTGGCTCTTAAGTTTACTTCATTATACTTTTAAAAAGTCTTAAAAATTACTTGTTCCAAATGTGACATTGACACCTTTTTATGTGTTTTAATTGTTATACATTGATATAATCTTGTGCACTAGTTTCACTTGTTAATTGAATTTAATGTGAAGCCCACAATTCATTTCTGTAGGACATTGATTTACTTTTAGGTTTTAAAAGAATATTAAAGAACTGTTAAACTCGTATATAACATGCTGCTGTATGCTTCTTTGGTCCTTTTTGTTAAACTACTTGTCATTCATTTGCACTTTGCCTCATAATCTGCTGGTTACCAAGTGAAACCTACTTTAAACCCCTTTGACCTCCCTCCCTCCCTCTCTCTCTCCTTTATCTGTTCTACTTGTCCAGTTATTAGTGAAGGTGTTCTCTGGCAGGAAGCCCATGCTCTATAGTTTCCAGAACTCGCTGCCAAGGCTACCTGTCCCCTCTGTCAAGGACACCTGCAGAAGGGTAATTTCCACCTGTCATGTCATTTCCTGTTTGAACAAGTTCCTCGTGCATTAAAGCCGTAAAGCATTTGAAGAAAACTGTCTTATCGTTC